AGTCGCGCATCAGGTGTTTCTTTGTTGTGGGTTTGTGATAGTGAGGTGTGGTCTAGACCCTTTGTATGCCTTCCTTTGACGCATTACTTTTATTTTTCCTTGATAATGTGAGTAGTCACTAAAGCGCTTGGAATTTCTCTATTCTTTCACAGTGGTTGTTTTGCATATTATATTATATATATATATATATATATATATATAATATATATATATATATATATATATATATATATATAATATATAGGGGTTTTTGGGGTGTTCAGGGAGGGGTAGTACCTCTGGCATGGGGGAGCTTGTCGTGCCCTTCTCGGGGCAGCTCGCCAGCTTTTGGTCCCCACCTGACGCCCAGCTCTCACTTGTGGCTCCAAGTAGCTGTTAGCATGAGACAGCAGCCACACCCCGGGCAACGGCTTCGACAGGCCGGCTAAAGCAAGTGAGGGTAGCCGTCGGGACATTGACCCCCGGTAAAGTCAACTAGGGCTTGCCTACCTAAGCATGGAAAGACTGGCTCTGGCGGACCGCGCGGATGAAACCACTAGATTGGTTCAACGGGCAGAAAGGCAGTTCCAGCAAGGCGTTGTGGAGTGCTATTGGCACAATGAGGCACTAAGGACATCCTGGTCATCCACTGCATCCGATCCCATCTCCAGTCGTCTCGACTTTGTCTTGCCACTGGCCTCAGATGGCTCCGGACTAGAGAGTGAGGTCGACGCTGCGCAACTCTTCCATACTTTAAACAAAGTCACAGCGCATGTCATCAGTCATCCTTTATCCCACCTCATCACCCAAGACCTGTGGCGACGGGCGAGCGACGAAGCGACAGGTGTGGGTACACTGGAAGTCGTAGCCGCGGACCTGCACACAGGCGGCTCAGGCCATAGGGTCGTTCTTTACCGACCGGAGCAGCGGTGGAGTCCGGCAGCCGTCTGAGTGCACTGCTCACCTCCATGGCATGAGGAACGGACTAGAAAAGGTGTCCCAAACATTGCCTGCTCCACGAAACCCGGGCCAGCTTACTGCGGTTGGCGGGCACCCTTCTACATGCGGTCGAAACTACAAGACATCAAAGAAGAAAACCAAGATCACACCTCTCAACCTTGCCACTTGGAACGTCCGTACGCTTCTCGACAGGGACGACTCAGACAGACCTCAGAGACGTACAGCACTCATCGTGAACGAACTCGCCAGATACAGCATTGACATCGCTGCCATAAGTGAGACTAGACTTGCTGGCGAGGGCAAACTCTGCAAAAGAGGAGCAGGCTATACCTTCTTTTGGTCCGGACGAGGAGCCGAGGAGAGACGGGAGGCAGGAGTTGGCTTTGTAGTGAAGTCATCCCTCATTGGCAAGCTGGCTGGCCCACCAAAAGGAGTGAACGATCGCCTTATGACGATGAGAATCCCCTTGTCCTGCGGACAGAAGTTTGCACTATTGTCAGCGCCTATGCCCCCACCATGACCAACCCAGACGAGGTTAAGGACAAGTTTTATGAAGACCTGAACGCCGTCATCACCACTGTCCCCAGCGCAGATAAGCTCATCATCCTTGGTGACTTTAATGCGAGAGTCGGTCGTGACAGCACCGCCTGGGAAGGCGTGATCGGAAAGCATGGGGTGGGCAGCTGCAATAGCAACGGCCTGCTGCTCCTTCAGACCTGCGCCGAACACAACCTTCTGATCACCAACACCGTCTTCAGCCTCCCTACCCGCAACAGGACATCATGGATGCATCCGCGTTCCAAACACTGGCATCTCATTGATTATGTCATCGTCAGGAAGAGGGACAGGCAGGATGTACGATTCACGAAGGCCGTGTGTGGCGCGGAATGCTGGACAGACCATCGCCTCATCGTCTCGAAACTTAAGCTCCGTGTCCAGCCCAGGAGACGCCCTCAGGGCGCGAAACCACCAAAACGCCTGAACGTCGGTAAGCTGATGGCCCACAACGTCAAGCAGTCCTTTGCAGAAATCCTGGAAACCCGCTTGGAGTCCGTCGTGCTGGACGTTCAAAACGTCGAAGCAGCATGGATCGCACTCCGTGATACAGTGTACAGCACAGCCATGGAGTGTCTAGGACCCGTCACCAGGAAGCACAAGGACTGGTTCGACGAACACTGCACAGAAATCCAGCAGCGCTTGTGGAAGAGAAACGAAGGGCCTACATGGCCCACATCAACGACCCAAAGTCCACAGCGAAGCAAGATGCACTGAGAAACATACGCAGCAATACCCAGCGAAAAATGCGTGAAATGCAAGACTCTTGGCTAAGCAACAAAGCCGATGAGATTCAGGGCTTTGCAGACAGAAACGATACGAATAACTTCTATGACGGCCTGAAAGAAATCTACGGCCCTACCACCTCTGGCACATCACCACTCCTCAGCGCAGATGGGTCAACGCTGCTCACAGACAAGGAGAAAATTCTAGAGAGATGGGCAGAACATTTTGACAGCGTACTGAACCGTCCATCCACCATCAACGATGAAGCCATCGAACGTCTACCTCAGATTCCGACCAACGAGACGCTGAATGCCATCCCCACTTTGGAGGAGACTCAGCAAGCAATACGTCAACTGTCCAGTGGCAAAGCTCCTGGGTCTGACGCCATCCCAGCTGAAGTCTACAAAGAAGGCGGAATGGCACTGGTAGAGAAACTTCACCAACTCTTCCAGCTTGTATGGCAGTACGAGACAGTTCCTCGGGACTTTAAAGATGCTTTCATCGTGCATCTCTACAAACGAAAAGGAAACCGCCAGGCATGCGACAATCACCGTGGTATCTCCCTGCTCTCCATCGCAGGCAAAACCCTGGCTAGAGTTCTACTCAATCGGCTCAATGAACATATAGAGCAAGGACTCCTACCTGAAAGCCAGTGCGGCTTCCGGAAAGATCGCGGGACTATCGACATG